TGATCTGAGCACCATTCAGTAATAATGTGTGCTCAGATCTAAGTTATCTGGGGATATGTTGAATGTACCTGTTTTATGCAAAAGCTGCAGTTATATATTTTTATGTATTTTATTGTCTTTTGCTACCATGTGTTCAATGGAGTTTTGCATCTGTCCTTGGAGATAATTGGATTACTTACCAGTTATCTCCAGGATAGAAGACTCTGTGGAACTGGTTTTGGGCAGAAAAGCCATGCTTCATTTGGTCACAAAGGACTTCGATTTATCTTTTGATCTACTGGACGGATTTTTTATATTTTTGAGTATATTTATATTTAAAGGACTCCGATTTCAAATATGTAACTTATTAATATTGGATGTATACTTTTAAAGTTATTAATGTCGTGTAAAAACTGAGGGAGAGGGGAGTGGTTTACTTTATTGTATGCGTTGTAATGTGTTTATTGGTTGTTCTGCAAAACCCTGTGGGTGGTAGTATGTCGGGAAAACCTGCATAAAAGAAGGCCCTTTGGTGCCAAGTAAAACAGATCTTCTTGACCCTCAACACATGGTCTTGTCTCATGATTGGAGGGAACTGCTATATCACACTGGGGATTGCTATGCTCTGCATACTCCCTTGAGCTTTAATCACTTAGATCTTTTAAGAGCTTGTTCCTGATATGCTCTCCTGGAGGATAGGTCTTCCCCACATGGTCCTAGAGGACAGAAGCTGATCCAGGGTGGACTGAAGACGGCGAGACTCCAGTTAAGCTACGGTTAAGCTACGGTTAAGCTACGGCGGTTGTGGAGTCTGCAGTGGTTGTGGTGTCCGGTGTGGTGCTTGTGGTCCTTGGCGCAAGCTAGGAAGCGTCCATCGGTCGGAGTATGGGGAGTTCCGTTACAGCTGGGTTTATGCTCATCGCTGTTCTGCTACCTGGACGGGATTTGGGAAGCGTACCGCACTTATGGCAGGCTGGCATGGTGGTGGTACAACGAGCGGTTCCGGCAATGACTAGCAGCTAAGCCGGGTATGAGGCGGGATCAGATGGACCTGCCACTCTGGATGAAGCTGATAATGGCGCAGAAGGTGCAGCCCTTTTAGCACACGGCCGGTGCTAGGGGGCAGTCCACCTCGTCAGCCGCCTTTCAAAAGGGCTTATGCTGGATTTCCGACAAAGGCCAGTCACATTAAGCACGAGTGCTCCAGCTGTGGGGGCGCCCACGGGCTTAACCTATGCTTCAAGAGAGGAAAGACGGGGGGAGCTGGAGTATTTGCCCTGGTCGGGGGGGGGCACCCTCTGTCACGGGGCTTAACCCCGGTGATGCTAGTCATGATGGAGCCTTGGCTAAGCCGCTACGGTAATAGGGTGGATGCCGAATTGCTCCGGGCTGGTTTTGGGCAGGGGTTCTTTATCCCCTTCCGGGATAGGTGGCGGGACTCGGGATCTGCGTAATCTCAAATCGGTGGCGGAGTTCCCGGGGGTGGTGCGGGATAAGCTGGATGAGGAAGTGCTGTTGGGCAGAATGGTGGGCCCATTTCTGGCGCCACCATTGGAGGGCCTACAGGTGTCCCCTCTCGGGATGGTTCCCAAAAAAGATCCGAAAGGAGCGTCGGTGAATGACGACATTGACAAGGACTTGTGCTCGGTCTCTTATGCATCATTCGACCAGGCAGTTGAGTTGGTAAAGGGGGCCGGGCGCAGAGCTCTGATGGCTAAGG